CTGGCATTAGAAATGCTTCCTTAGAATGCAAGAGAGTTCAGCTTAGTGACACTAAAGAATGCCATTGAATATTGACTTATTTTATCTAAAAACCCCATTGTCTGGATTTCTTCCATCCAATATTCCGTAATTACCAATCTTTATCTTGTGCTTCAGACTCAGAAAAGCTACAAACAATCCAACAACCCTTTTACCGACCTTCTGTGTCTCCCTGAGCTCTTTGCAAAGAACCTCTTGGTTTTCCAAAAGAAGCATTTAGTTCTTTATTTTCATGTTAAGCTTCTAGCTGAGTGGCTAAAGACAGCCAGAAGTAGCGCAGTTAAACACAAGCAGTAGTTCAAGGTTAACCTTCTTCCCATTGATCACTTGTAAATTACAGGCTAGAGAAAACCAGCAAGAGAACAGAGAGAGACATCTTAGGAGCTTATTTAGTTCTTCTCCAAGAGAGAGTAAGAGAGAAACCAGGTAGGGGGAGGAGAGGTTGACCTGTGGCAACCACTGCAGGTCCGGTCTACCCTATTGAGCAGAGACTAGTGGGCTGAACTACTCACACAATCAAACACTTGACCAGAAGCGATATTTCAGTCACTGGGCTGGGAATTCCCATTTCTCAACTGTTCATGGGTGAGCAGGTTTACTGCATCCACTTTCCGAATTGACCACTGAATGCTGGCTGGCTGCTTCCTCTATTTGCCACTCTGGGGGAATGGCTGTGAAAAGGACCCTAACTATATGACTGGGACCTCAAAGTCCTGTGAAGTGGTTGTCCCTTTAACAAAAAATGTGTTATATTTTTCTTGAACAGATCTATGAATAATGACTTCAATAGATTTATACTAGAAAAGAAAGTCATTCTTCTATGCTGCTCAGGAATTTCTTAAGAGTATGGTGCAACACTTAATAGTATTTTGGAGTACTATTAAGTACTAATAGTACTGTGAGTACTGTTAATAGTGCTTAATAATTAATAGTACTTAATAGTACCAGTAATACTTAATAATACAGTAGAGGAATTGGCAAACTTATCCTGTAAAAGGCCAGATAGTAAATATTTTAGTCTTTGCCAGACATATGGTCTCTGTTGTAATTACTCAACTCTGCTAGTGCAGTGTGAAAGCAGCCACAGGCAATATATAAACAGATGAATGTGGCTGCGTTCCAATAAAACTTTATTTATGGACACTGAAATTTGAATTCCATATGATTTTCGCATGTCACATATTCTTCTTCTTTTTTTCTCCCCCAACCATTTAAAAATGTAAAAATCATTTTTAGCTCCTACGTGGTGCAGGAACAGGCAGTGGGCCAGATTTTGTTAGCAGATTTGCTTTGCTGAACTTTTTTGTAGTAAAAAAGAGCCCCTGGCTTAGAGCCCCTTGACCTGTACTTGAGACCAGGGTCTATGATTTGCAGGCCTTGGAAACGTGGCCAATTTGCCCAAACCCTAGTTTTCCCTCTATAAAATATAAATTATAATACTCAGCCTCCCGTGGTGAATTAGAATTGAATGAGATAATTTGTGCAAGTGCTCTTAATGCTCCCAAACAGCACACCATGTAGGGTAAAATATTATTTTGTTATTGTTGTACATTCTGTGCTTTGTCAAAATCTCTTAGCAGCCTTCTGACAGAATTCTGACTTCTAGCTGACGCTTTACATCCAAAGCACTCAAGATGTTAAGGGACAGAACATTAGAAAGAGGCGTGCTTTACTCAATTTTAAATTTAAGGTTAACATTTTCTTAAATGCAGGTTGGCCATAAAGTTTGGAGACAACATAACACAAATTTACTTTATTGTAGTATAATACCAGTGGATCATCTCTTATGTATATGTTGCCTATGTTTTTCAACTTTATAGCCACCCATTGAAAGGAAGTCATCATAGAAGATAATGTTTGCCATGTATGTAGGACATTTACTTTTCAGCTGCCTTCCTGAATCTCCTGAATCGTACAGAGTATCTCCCAAGTCAAGGAAAGAACGACTGAAGAACAGTCAGACTGTTGGCGAGCCGTTCTGCAAGTGACTTACTATGAATATTTTAATTGTATTCTCTCAGCTAATCAAAGCATTTCACATTCTTCTGGTGAGTTCAGGTAGTTTTCTAACAGCATTCTTACATCTCCTTTCTGTGTCCACCAGCTCCTATCTTTGTAAACAGTTTCGAAATATCCTAAAGACATTGGCTTAAATCTAAATAACAAAGCAAAGGGGGAAAAAAAGTAAGAAACCTGAAATGTAAGAAAATATAGGGAGAGAAAGCATTAGAATGTTGCTTTGGAGAATTCCAAATTTAGACCTTGAAATGAAGATATAAATAATTTTTAAATTAGAGTACGATGAAAAATAGACATTTCAGAGCCCCAGTTTGGTTAAATCTGCAAGAGAAAATTGTGCTTAAGAAATGGGTTGACATTTTTAGAGACAGTAGCTGGATTTCTGTTAGGGAATGTAAGATACTGAACTAACACGATAGAGTTGGGACTGGGAAACCAGGGAAAGATCAAAAGAGGGAACAGAGGAAGAAGGGAGTAGGGGAGGAGAGAGCTCTGCCTCATGGGCACAGAGGGGCTATGTGTTGGAACACCAGGCTTAGAAGGAATGGAAGAGCAGTGAGCTGACATTATAGTGCTTGCAAGTGTGTTAATGCAAAAGAGTATAGTACCCAGGGGACAAGCCAGAACATAATTTTATTGGTGACATAAAGTTGACTTATAAGTGAATAGGTGCTCTTCCAGTCGGAGAGCACATTGGGGTGGATGGAAGCACGAATCCCTGGGGAGGTCATGCTTCCGGCTGAACCTGCCCTTTTCTCTGGGAGCACTTGGTTCTGTCAGATTGGGGTCAACTGTGGAAATGTTAACTCTTTAGTTCAAAGGTCTTTTCCGGCTCACGGATCCTACCATGTTTTATGGAAAGGCGACTCAAATACATCAACCAAACAGAATATTGAGCTGAGAGTGGTCTTCATTAGTTATGGATATATAGATGCATTAAAATAGACTTACGTATTTTCATAGCACTTGATTTGCTAAGGGAGTGACAGCGAATCAGGATTGGATTTTGTGGGATAGAATGAGTAGAAAGTGTGTGGTCAGTTTCATCGAACTGTCTTAATGAAAAACACCATTCACTACTTGCTGCTTAGAAAATTCAGTCTCAGTGAACGTCTTTCAGTTCCAAATTTTAACAGTTGACACAAAATACACTGTTAAACTGTGTTATCAATAACGGTAGAAAAATAGACATGTCTGATAGGGACATTCTAATAAAAGGTTCTTCAGGAGCGTCCTCATTTGAAGATTCAGAGGCTCACATTACAAAATCGAGATTTGGTTCAAGTTCTGCCTCCAACTACATTGACACCAAAGACAGTGAGAAACAGGAGGAGACCTCACATCCGGGTGGCCTGTCACAGACACAGAACCGACACGTGCGCGTGGTCAGAGGGTTGTCAAGGCCCTTTGTTCAGTTGTGCTGAAGGGCAGGCAAGAAGTGATCAGGCCCCGAGCTACCCTTCCAGCCAGACAACGGGGTGTGTGTTGTCCTTTAAGCCTTAGTAATGGATTTAAAAGGGCCCAATGAGTCTTCAAGAGCTAAATTCACAGACATTTTGCAGCCCCTACTGGATCTTGCTTTGTGCCACCGTGCCCTGCTCTGCCCTGCCACCCTGGTGATGCTGCCGGGTTAACGCCCCAAGCCAAGAGCGCCCTTCCTAAGGCTGCAGCGAGGTCAGGCCACGGCGCCTCCGCGCAGACTCAGGGGAAGCATATTGGGCTCCCTCCTCCTCGACCACCACCTCCTCCTCAGGGTGTGTGGAATAAAGAAATGATTCAGCAGATTTTCAATGCAAAAAACGAAATGCTGGCAAACAGGAAGGGGCAGGGGCCGGCAGTCTTGTTTTCCGTAAAGTCAGTGCCAAAAGGCAGTCTTCCTGGTGGTGCAAGTCTCTGAAGTGGGAGAAGAGAGACCCCGATGTTAAATTCAGGAACTGCTTTCCTTATCCCTGGGACATCCTTTTCTAGTAGACAAGGTCCCCAAACTACAGCAAAGGCCTATGCAATCTGGTCAGGGAAGGCAAAGGAAACAGAAAGGGACAGCTAGTTTGATCTCTTTGACCTCCGTGGTGCAAAGCCTCAAACTGAGCACAGCTGTAGGAGCCGAAAATAAACTTGGATCCATTCAATGAATATTTATGATGGGCAACTGTGTTAAAGAACAAACAGTTTATAAATGCAAAATTAATGTGAAAGTTCTATTACAGTGCAAAATCTCCACCTGCCCCTGAGGTTTGCTCTAACTCTTTGTTCCTTTTTTTTTTTTTTTTCTATTTTGAAATTTAGATTTTTCAGTGCAAAATACCCTCCCTCCCCCTTCCTTCTTTCCTTCCTTCCTTCCTCCCTCTTTGCAGATTAAAATGAATTAAGGCTGCAGTTTTTTGTTTGTTTTCGTTTGATTGACAGACACTTTGGATTTGATTTTTAACCTGTGGCATGCTCTAGAGACATTTCTTAGATAGTCACCAAGATTGTTGATCTAATCTTTGAATATTGAACTCTGATCATCTCAGAATAACAAAGGAATAATAATAAAAAATCCCAATGCAAGAAATGCTGATGGATAAGCCCCCAGGGACAGGCAAGATACTGTCCTTGGATGGAGTTGAAGTGTGAGAGGTCAATGATTATGTCACCCACTACACGCCTTCCTGAATTTCATGGCTTTAGGCCCAAACCATCTTCTACTAACTTACTGTGTTTCATTTTAACAGTCCGTAGTTTCTCATGATTACAGAGTAAAACAGCTGGAGAATCAATGGTTTTGCAAAAGAAAAGTTTCCTAAACTATTGTTTAGGGCAAAAGTGCATGTGAAAAGCAAAATCATATCATTGGTGACATGCTAGAGAACGTCCCCTTTCCTGATGTTCTCCCCCAGGCTGGTCAGTGAGGCCCTTGTTATCTTTTTTTTTTTTAAAAGACATCAGTTTTGTAAACATTTCACAGTATATCAGCGTATGAGTGGTGGGTTTCGCCATGTACTGGACCTCGTGATTTTCCCCAGACCTATCTATGGCTTACTAGATTTCATGAGAGGATCAGAGAGGGAGCAGTGAGGTACCCTAACGCCTGCCAGTCTGGGACACGAACAAAGGCCATGCACTGGAGAGCCAGCGGTCGACGGGCTCAAAGTAACCTGGAGAACACAGACATCAAAACAGAAATGACTACTGCATGTTAGGAATCATTTTTTTTTGTTTTTTTTTTTGCTTCTTATTTCTAAAGTTATATATCTAAACCTACATTAATGATACATCTATGTACACTATTTAGAAGTTCTGTTCTACAGTAACTTTTGTACATGCTGGGTTTTATTACTAACTGCAAAAAGAAAATAATTACATAAGGCATATATATGTACAGTGGTTTGTCTTTAGCTTACCTGGGTCCTATAACTGCAATGCCCGGGTGGGGCAAGCACCTCGCCCTGGAGTGGATGAAGTGGTTCGGGATCTGTAAAATTGAGGATTCTACTTTATGTCTCACTGCATGAATAAATAGGCACCAGAGACCTTACTTGTCACATCCCAGGTAACATCTTAGACACACTCTTTTGAGTGATCTGGTATTGTACAACACATGCAGGTAAGTAGCTTAAATCTCCAGGAGTTAGATGGGTGGCATTTTGGGGGGAGACCAGGCTCGGGCCACAAATGAGGGCACATTGCACCTTCACCAAATCCATGGCTACCTTGTCAATCTAAAGAACTGAGAAAGGGCAGGTAGATATTTTACACCTTGAAGATTTGTTTTCTGGTAATGTCAAAATTAAATATAAATAAATAAAGAAGGAAGTAAGAGAGACAGAAAAGAAAGAGAATGATAGACAAGGAGAGATCGTGTCGGGGGAGGGGAGAGGAGCTGCCCCGCTAGGGCACTAAACTTTGGATTCATTCTCCAGGTTAGCCACATCACCATTCCTTTCCGTTTGCTCTTCGAGGTTCTTTTCTTCCTCTTCAGTCTCCAATTCTGCATGTTGGTTGAGTTTGCTGGACACAGACCAACTCAGGGGCAGCTCTGCCCTGCTGGCTAACTCGGCCAGCTCTTTGGCACTAAGGGACGGGGTGCTGGTCTCATAGGTCTCATGGAAGCTGTTGTAGTCAACTTCATAGAACCCGTCCTCCAGCGTCAGGACAGGTGTGAACCGGTAACCCCACAGGATCTCACTGGTGATGTAGGAACTCCGAGCTTGGCATGTCATCCCTGTGGAGAGGAGAATGGAGGCTTTAGTATATATGCGAGTGTGGGCTTTCCATAGCCAAGGAGACTCAGTGAACCGGGAAGGGCTACTGCATGCAGCCGTTCAGAATGACCTGCGTACCATGACACAACTAAGGAGGTGTCATTCATGTTGTAGATACCTGCTAATGTGGCATGGAGATTCTAGACCTCCCAGTGGAGTCCTGGGCAGCAATGAGAGAGTCCTGGCTCACAACAAGCCACACGTGCCTGCACGGCCACGCACACACAGAGGAGAGCAAGTGTACCCATGCACACAGGTGCGTATGGCTACACCTTGTCTACTCTTTGCACCAGGAGTACCCTAAAGTCACAACTGTGGCTTCCCACTGCTTTTAGAGGCTTAGCATGAATCCTAATGGGACTTGAAGGCTTCGGCCACACACTTGGAATGAAATTTGACTTGTGGCACTACACTTCGGTTGCCTTTAAGCTGGAGGCCATGGACCAGTGTTAGATTCCCACCTGCCGTGACACACAGGCCACACTGTGGCCCCCAAATGAGGTAGAAGGGATATCCACCTGAGTTTGCGCTTTCCTCAGGCTCAGTGGGCATAGTTGCCCGTATCGTGTCATGATATACTACCTTAAAGCTCTTCTTCCTTCTTAAAGATGAGAAGACGTTTTCTAATTTGCACAAAAATACCATGTGAACTACTGGCAGCCCCAGAGTGAGGAGTAGCTTTCTTTTAGATGTGAAATAGCAGAATGGGGGAAATTCCGTCCATCTCCTTAGAACAGAAAACTAGGCAACAGGCCTGGTATAAGATATGGGAAATGACAATCGTGAATTTTTTTTTCCTGAGGCCAAAGAGCTCTCTTATAAAAAATCTCAGAAAGTGAAAGCATTCATTTAGTTAGTAATTCAGGGCTCACTTCTCCATTAGGCAAGTAGGCACACTGTCTAGGGCCTATAATACTTTTAGGGGCCCGTGAAAATGTTTTAATTTCTTTTAAAATCAGAAAAATAAACTTTTAGCTAGAAGAAAATGTTAACATATTCATCTTTATATCAACACAGTTATAAAATATAATTAAAAACATTTTTTTAATGGAGCAAGGGGCCCACAAAGGTAAGACTACTAGGGACTCCAAAAAGTCACACTATCACCCAGGAAAGCAGTAGACCAGCCAGTCAGTATGTCATCTGTTAAAACGACCAGTAATAT